TAGCTAGCTTTCTCAAGAAAGGCTGGATCATGGCTCAAGTCGTTGCTTGCGACTTACTGGTAACATGTAAAACCACTTTTAGCAGCATTCCAGAATTGCGCCCCTCAAGGTGGCTGCATGTTGGAATAGCTCTCTTACATTCATCCTGAGATTTTGCTTTTGAAAACTTTAATTACAAATTTTTCTGGATACAAATCACTTTTTTTGGATGATTACTTCCTCTGGTATCAGATGCTGTGCTGCTGGAAGTATTTTTACTGAAACCTTCTTCACATTTGGGTATTTGTTATGATGCGTAACCATAACAACAAGGTGGCTTTCTACAACTGGGAGCTGCTGATTAACATCTCAAAAGCTCAAATAAGACCTCAACTACAGCCCCAAATCCCAAATGAGTTGAAAAGGAAGTGCAGTAGATGCATTACAGTCTACTAGGAGGCTATGCTCGAGTGCCTGACCGCCGAGATCTTGGAGGTAGTGGGAAACATGGCTTGTGACAGTGGGAGGACCGAGATCGTTCCCTGGCACCTGCAGTTAAGTCCGCAGTGACGAGGAGCTCGGCAGGCTGCTGCAAGAAATGGCTATTGCTCAAAGAGGAGTTCTGCCAGCATTCAGGCAGTCCTGCTGCCCAATAAGACGAGAGGTCTGCTGGGTCTGGGTGGACGGAGCGGCATCTGCAGCTAGTTTCTTCAGATCTGCTGTGGGACAGACTGCTACAAGAAATCCTTCTTGCCCAAAGTCATCAGCATCTAGAACAACTCTAATGAAACCAAGAAGAGCTACAACAACAATTAATTTCCCTTTGGGATTAATAAAGTATTTTTGAATTTGAATTTGAATTAATCGAAAGCCCACTCTTCTTTACAACTTGGCTCCAGTTAATTGAAGTTTGCAGACATTTGTTTATGTGCTGTTCTCTTACAGCATTTCAGTCGAGTTGAGGCCAACCACCTGTTAGACAGACAGCCTCACATTTGACTCTAGAATCCTGTGGTCTACAGAGTTCAATGACTTCAAGCTGCCCAGGTCCTGTAGCAGCAAAACAAGCCCAGATCATCAGCACTCCACCACTGTGCTTTACAACTGGCATGAGTGGGTAAATGCCCAAACTCCTGCTTTTATAGAAGTGGCCACACTGATGATAATCAATGTGCCACTGTAAGACCATATCTATTAGAAAAGGCTGGATGGACAATCTTTTACCCCTGAGGTACTACTGGAAAAAATATGGAGGTGAAGAAGTGGATTTGACATGCCGAAGCTATGGAATGAAGTACTTTCATACTCTGGCGTGTAACTGGGTGAGGTTTAGCCTTCCAATAATTCCATTAAATCAATAGTTCTTGACTGGTAACTCTGTCTTATCCTCTGGAAGCTATTTCTGACGCAACTCTATTTTTTTACTTTGGCTTCAGTTTTGCTTTAGAAATAATGACAGTGGTATCTGTAGTGCTCTCGTACACTTTATATTTGATTTAAATCATATTTGAACCTAGTTAAGACCGGATCATTTTTATTATGTCTTGATAGGTAAAACCCTAGAGTTAAATGGGGGTGGTTTTTCTGTTTCTCATGACTGTAACTGTGGTGATAATAGTGTAGTGGCTTTTTATTGTGGTCAGCCTAAGACACACCTGTGCAATAGTCATGCTGTCTGATCAGCATCATGCTACCCCACACCTGTGAGGTGGATGGATTATCTCAGTGCTCACTAACAGATTTACACAAAATTGTGAACAATATTGGAGACAAAACAGCTTGTTGTATACAAAGAAAAAGTTGTGGATCTTTGAATTCAGCTCATGACAAATGGGAACAAAAGCAAAAGTGTTGCGTTTATATTTTTGTTCAGTGTAGTTACGCCACGTTGACATGACATTTGTTGACGTGAAGGCCTAGCAGCGATAATAGCATTTAGCTACTTTTAGGTAGGGTTTTGCTACATTTAGCTTTCAGCTCAGCGTCAGCTTCTTCAGCTAATTTCCGCAGTGTTCCAGAACTCAGGCCTCACACTCTTCTGGTTTCTTTTAGTTTAGCGTTGTGATTAAGTGAAAACGGCTTGTCCTTGGTGTGTTGCGTGCAGGTCAACAGGTTCAAACCCCACCATGTAATTAGGCAGTTTTTTTTCCCGTATCTTTTTCTTTTTTTTTTCAAGCCAAGTCTTTTCAACAACGAATCAGTGATTTTTCTCAGGAATCAGGAAGCTTTCTCAATGCTGTGGGATTGTTGGGCCAAAACGGGAAAAGGGCCGAGGAATAGACGAAACATGACTCCTATCTCTGGGTTGCAGAGCTGTTTCATGTCTTTGTGAGCTAATCAGGCCCATTCATGGCTTTCTGGTGGCATGCAGCCAAAATGCTCCATTGATATACACTTCCACCCTTGTCTTTTAATCTTTTTGTTACATAACGTTTTCAAACTCGGATCTTAATAATATTCTGTTAATTAAAAATGACAAAACTAAACTTCTACTTTTATTATTTGCCGTAAGTAAGACTCCTTCATATGGAGCTTTAGGGCCACGCTAAGAAATAATGATAATTAAAAGCCATAAAATTACAAGAATAATGTACGACACTTTTTTTTTTTTTTTACAGTTCTTGTTTATGTATTTTTTTTTTCCACGAGTCGGATCCATGACATGACCTGTCAATCAATAGGCGTGTAAGCAAATGTCCAATCCAAAGATAAATGCTCGTATAAGTGAGTCTCTGGGCCTCTTCAGCCTCTTCTGGCATATTTATTGAAGACCTCTAACGGTGCTACACACACGATTTCTCTCACTGAGCGCCATTTTCAAACGGAAACAAAAACAAAAGTCAGGACGTAATGACGTCACGTATATGTGTCCCAGAAGCAGCGTACAAAAACACAACAGTAGGGGGCAGTATTGGAACACGTTTTGATCAAGAGCGTCAATAATAATAACGTTTAACAAACATTCTTCCTTTTCCCACAGTTAAAATGCTGTAAACCTGCTTTATCGTGTCGGAGTTCGGATAATATTACGACTCATTTAGCTTCAAATTGGTCAGTTGCTGACACGCCTACTGGATTGATGGACAGGTCGCGTTGTGGATCTCGTGGGGAAGAAAAAAGAACGACTTTTGTCAAAAAAATAAAGTCTCGTACGACTTTATTCTCATAATATTAAGACTTTATTCAACTTTATTCTTGTAATTTTAAGACTTTTATTTATTTATTTTTTTCTTAGCGTGGCCCTAAAGCGCGGTCGTAGCCATGAGATGAAGACAACAAATTAAGAATATAACGATGTGGGTTTAGTTTAGAAATAATCTCTCCAACATGGTTTGAAGCTGTATTTTCTGGACTACAGATTAAATGTCAGCTCTGATTGTCCGCCCATCGCAAAGTGATGAGGGGAAATTAGAAATACCCTCCGTCTTTCCGTCCATGTGGTGAGTATGGTAACTTGAAAATAGGTGAAGTACCAACTTCCATTTTGGTGCGTGGCTGCATCTAAGCATAAGAAAGGTCACTATCAAAAATTAGGTTGCCATATCAAAATTCAAGATGGCCACCTCCAAATATATCTGTAACCAACTACCCCAGTCATTTGAGGAATCTATGCTTTCTATTTTTTATTGCTTAAAAGTATAGTTTCCTGAAAAGACCAAAGGAGTGGCTGAAATTTTATCTATCATGTCATATTGTGTGAAAGCCACCATTGGCCACCCCCTGGCTACGCTATTGTGTCTGGTCATGTATAAATTTGCTCCCTCCACTCCCCAGGATCTGTCACTTTGCTCTGCCTCAGACAAGCAAAGAAACCCTACCTCTCTTCTCATATCCACTCGAACATCTTGCACAGCCAGAAAAACACTCATCTTGAAAACTATAAATATTCACTATTTAAATCCCTCAGTAACGGGGTAGTCCCTCGTTTATCATGGGGGTTACCGTATGTTTCACCCCCCTAGGCAATAAGTGAAAATCCGCGAAGTAGGGGCGTTATATTTATTTTAGTATTTTTATATATTTTAAGGCTTTATAAATCTTTCCAATGTTCTAAACTCTTAAACCTGCGTCATTTTAACAACATACGTATATGTACTGTACAGTACTGCAAATTTTACTCACCAGCTCTGCAGACCAGCGGCTCGGTTTCGGTCTGACTCTGTTACACTTTGGCAGACCTACCCTGCCGGTTCTGGTCGGCTCTGCAGCCCTTGAGCACCAAGATGCGTTTGAAGGAAGCCGGACCTTCGGATGGCCAGCACGGGACAATATGGTGGTCGAGATAGAGTCCAAATCCGGATGAAAAAAGTCCCGGTGAGGCTCCAGAGAGAACGCCTGACCTCCAGGCGGCACCTCCCTGCTCAGAAGGCCTCGTGAGCCGGCGGGCGACACTCAGATTCACCAGTGAGTCTGGAGCAAGGGCGTCAGAAGCATCCGTAATGTGTGTGTGTGTGTGGGGGGGGGGGGGACGCAATGATTTTGGACGGTTAAAAAAGAATTTAAAGAAAAGAGTAAAAAGAGAAAGGGAAGGGTCAGTGAAGAGCACCGGAGTTGAGCCTTTTTTGTCGTCCAGTGTCTTCAGTAGAAAGAGAGACACGAAGAAATTATAAAGTCGATAAATGAAAATGAGGTTGATCATTTTCATTCATCATGCGATTAATTGATATATTGTTTATTGCGACAGGCCTAAGTACGGCTTGGTCTTTAAATGGTTTTAAGATCTGATGTCTTCATCTGACTAAAACCCATTTAACTTAGACCAAATGGTTAAAATCTCAGGATGTAGAATAAATATAGAATACTTTGTTCTGTGCATGTAAACATGTAGGTGTGCCTGATTATGCTGTTATAAAATACCAAACTGACACACGTCATGTGTGACTTCACTCTTGCATTTACACAAGACGGACAGATTTTAGCTGAAACGCTGAAATCTGTGAAAGCTTTGTACAGAACAGAAAGACAAACATGATCTTTCGCCTAATTACCTAATTCTTCGTTCGTTTGCTGTTGTCTCTCAGGATAGTGTGGCCATGACGGGAGAGATGGCAGCGGCTCTTCCCATGAGCAACCACACCCGGGAGAGGGTGACCGTGGCCAAGCTGACGCTGGAGAACTTCTACAGCACTTTGCTCACGCAACACGAGGAGCGCGAGATGAGGTGCACCGTCCTGTCTGCTCTCCTTCACTGTGCAGCAATACACGTCCTTCATTCCACCTGTTTCTTCAGGGGTCATCAATCTTCCAAGGGTCGTGGGTCACACCCTTTCGTTACAAAACCCTCATGGAATTAAAGGCCTCGTGGAAATGACAGAGTTCTAGCAATGTGAAAAGAACACAATGCATTATCACAACACGTTAAGCTCAAAGTATGTGTTGTGGATGACTCTCAGCTACTACCCTGTTAAATTTTAGCTCAATATTTGTAGAATTGACTGAGTTACAGCCATTTTTGTGTTGGCTATTTTTGATTAGCTGTGGTGGCCTTTGTGAATTGGAGTGACTCTAAAAGTTAATCTTTTGTAAACGAACAATCAAGAATAACTTTCTGAGAGTGTCACTCAAATCTGTCCTGTGGTTCATGAGCTATTTTGCTAACAGACAAAGTTGACTCCCAGCAGTTAATGCTAAAGTTTTAAGCAAATATTTGGCTCAATGATTAGCTTGTAATATGTGTTGAATGATTCTCAGCTACGATCATGCCAAATTTCAGAAAAATATCTGTGAATTTGACAGAATTATAGTAAATTTTTATTTTGTAAATTCAGTTGACTGTGGCAGCTTTTTTTATCTGGGTTGGCTCCAAAAGTTAATAGGTATTTAGACGTACACTCAGTGATCATTTCCTGAAAGTTTTGCTTAAATCTGTTTAGTGGTTCATTAGATATTTTGCTAACAGATGGACATGATTGACAAAAAGCAAATGGAAAAACTTTAAACAAAGATCTTAAGCAATCTATTAGTGCTCAGAACATGTGTTGGGGATCAGTCACAGCTACTACCATATCGAAATTTAGTTCAATATCTGTAAAATGGACCGAGTTAGAGCCTTTTTTTTTTGTCTGTGGCAGCCATCTTGTATTGAGTTTGTTTTCAAAAGTTAACCAGTTGTAGACAAATGTCCACCTTCTGAGAGTTTCCTTAAAATTTCTCCAGTGGTTCACGGGATGTTTTGATAAGTCAAACACAGTCAGGCCAAAACAAATACGCTAACAGTGTTTACTTCTCACACGAGACAGATTTAGTCAGCGACTGGAAATGTAGCTGCTGTTTAAAGTCTCCAGTTTCAACACATAACACACGTGCACAAGGGAGTGGTTGGGAGTCGCTTCATCCAAGGTGTAAGCAAAACACACTGCTGTCACTTCTGCTCTTGTGTTCCCTGCGAGACAATGTGTTGTCACAGTAACACGGGTCAGAGCGTCCTGCAGGAGACACCTGAGTCCCTGTTTACACCAGAACACCAACACCTTCAGGGTTAGATCATCTCCACTCTTCCGGCTAAACTTTTCCTCTCGTGTGTTTTTTGACAAACAAAATGAAGACTTCATGGTTTCCTCATGTTCATACAAAATTACATTTCTCATTTCCAGGCAGAAGAAGCTTGAGAAAGCCATGGAGGAGGAGGGTTTACCAAACGAGGAGGTACAGTCCTAGTCCTTGTCAGGGCTGCAGGTTTTAAAATGTTGCAGGAGCAAAAACCTCTCCGTCTGCTGACCAAATGTTTCTGTTTGCTGTAGAAGGTGATGCGGCGCTCGCAGCACGCTCGTAAGGAGACGGAGTTCCTGCGACTCAAGAGGACGAGACTCGGCTTGGATGATTTTGAGTCTCTTAAAGTTATCGGAAGAGGTGCTTTTGGAGAGGTAGGTTTTTTTTAATGACCAAAGAAAAATCTGTTTACAAACAATGATTTGTCAACAGCAGAACATTTAGTGTCCTCCAGGTTAGGGGTCTGCAAGCTTTACCATCAAAAGAGCCATTTCTGTCCTTTCGTTCATTAAATTAAACGTGTTCAGAGCCGCAAAACCTGCTACAACTGCCATTATCAACTGCTGGCCCATGGGCCACTTTTATGTTTATTAGAGGGGGCTTTTTTGGTTTGTAGGTGTGAAATTATAAAAATAAAAACATCCAGTGATTGTGAAAGGTGAAACACCTCTATGATAAGCAAAATGAATGGACTCAATCCAACAATTTTCAGTCAGGTCATCTGGACAGTTTCTTTTTTTTTTGTGGTGAAAGCCTTCCATCCAGAAGGCTTCATCAGTCAAGGAAACACACAACACAAAACTGATTCTTCCAGATTGTATACCTGGATTATTGAGCATTGACTTTGTTGGAATGGACTCAATGTTCCCTTTCCCAGATGTGGGTCACTGGGGCCCCAATCTGGAGCAGGGCCTGGAGGTGGGGCTTTTACCCATGGTGCTTGGCCGGGCACAGCCTGAAGAGGAGACGTGGATCCCCCTTCCCATGGTCTCACCACCTGTGGGAGGGGCCAAAGGGGTCAGGTGCAATGTGGTGGTGGCCGAGGGCGGGGACTTGGCGATCTGATCATCAGCTACATAGTCTGGCTATCGGGAAGTGGAATGTCACCTCTCTGGTGGGGAAGGAGCCTGAGCTGGTGTGTGAGGTTGCAAGATTCCGGCTAGAAATAGTCGGACCCACCTCGATGCATGGCTCTGGTTCTGGAACCAGTTTCCTTGAGAGGGGTTGGACACTCTTCCACTCTGGAGTTGCCCCTGGTGAGAGGCACCGAGCAGGAGTGGGCATACTTGTTGCCCCCCATCTTGGTGCCTGTACATTGGTTTTCACCCCGGTGAACGAGAGGTAGCCTCCCTCCGCCTACATGTGAGGGGACGGGTTCTGATTGTTGTTTGTGCTTATGCACCAAACAGCAGTTCAGATTACCCACCCTTTTTGGAGTCCTTGGAGGGGGTACTGGAGAGTGCACCTCCTGGGGAATCCCTTGTTCTGCTGGGAGACTTCAACACTCACGTGGGCAATGACAGTGAGACATGGAGGGGTGTGTTTGTGAGGAACGGGCCCCCTGATCTGAACTCGAGTGGTGTTCTGTTGTTGGACTTCTGTGCTCGTCATGGATTGTCCATAACAAACACCATGTTCAAGCATAAGGGTGTCCATATGTGCTCTTGGCACCAGGACACCCTAGGCCGCAGTTAGATGATTGACTTTGTTGTCATCTCATCTGATCTGCGGCCGCATGTCTTGAACACTCGGGTGAAGAGGGGGCGGAGCTGTCCATTGACCACTACCTGGTGGTGAGTTATCTCTGATGGTAGGGGAGGATGCCTGTCAGACTTGGCAGGCCCAAACGTATTGTGAGGGTCTGCTGGGAACATCTGGCAGAGTCTCCCGTGAGATGGAGCTTTAACTCCCACCTCCGGGAGAACTTCAAACACGTTCCGGGGGAGGTAGGGGATATTGAGTCTGAGTGGGCCATGTTCCGCACCTCTATTGTCGAGACAGCTTACCGGAGCTGTGGCCACAAGGTTGTTGGTGCCCTTCGCGGCGGCAATCCTGAACCTGGTGGTGGACACCTGCAGTGAGGGATGCTGTTAGGCTTAAGAAGGAGTCCTTTGGGGCCTTTTTGGCCTGTGGGACCCCAGAACGGCAGTCCAAGCGGTATGTGGCTTGGGTGGTCGCTGAGTTCGGAGAGGCCATGGACAATGACTTCCGTATGGCTTCGAGACAATTCTGGTCCACCATTCGATGTCTCGGGGGGGGTGAAGTGGTACTCCACCAACACTGTTTATAGTAGGGGTGGTGTGCTGCTGACCTCAACTCGGGATGTCGTGGGTCGGTGGGCAGAATACTTCGAGACCTTCTCAATCCCACCGGCACATCTTCCACTGAGGAAGAGGAGCCTGGGAACTTTGGGTCGGGCTCTCCAATCTCTGGTGCTGAGGTCACCGTGGTGGTTGAAAAGCTCCTCGGTGGCAGGGCTCCAGGGGTGAATGAGATTCGTCTGGAGTTCCTTAAGGCTCTGTATGTTGTGAGGTTGTGTTGGCTTACACGACTCTGCAATTTTGCATGGACATCGGGGGAAGTTCCCCTGGATTGGCAGACCAGGGTGATGGTCCCCCTATTCAAAAACGGGGACCGTAGAGTGTGTTCCAACTACAGGGGGATGGCGCTCTTAAGCCTCCCTGTTAAGGTCTATTCGGGGGTTCTGGAGAGGAGGGTCCTTTGGATAATCAAACCTCGGATTCAGGATGAACAGTGCAATTTTTGTCCTGGTCGTGGAACACTGGACCAGCTCTATACCCTCAGCAGGGTCCTGGAGGTTGCGTGGGAGTTTGCCCAACCAGTCTACATGTTCTTTCAGCAGGGTCCTGGAGGGTGTGTGGGAGTTTGCTCAACCAGTCTACATGTTCTTTGTGGACTTGGAGAAGGCATTCAACCGCATCCCTCGGGGAACCCTGTGGGGAGTACTCTGGGAGTATGGGGTACCAGGCCCTTTGATATGGGCTGTTAAGTCCCTGTATGACCGGTGTTAGAGCTTGGTCCACATTGTTGTTGAGCTTGTTCCTGGTGAGAGTTGGACTCCGCCAAGGTTGCCCTTTGTCACAGATTCTGTTCATAACTTTTATGGACAGAATTTCTAGGCGCAGCCAAGGTATTGAGGGGATCAGTTTTGGTGGCCTTAGGATTGCGTCTCCGCTTTTTGCAGATGATGTGGTCCTATTGGCTTCATCAGGTCGTGATCTACAGCTTTCGCTGGAGCGGTTCACAGCCGAGTGTGACGCGGCCAGGATGAAGATCAGTTCCACCAAATCTGAGGCCATGGTTTTGATCCAGAAAAGGGTAGAGTGCCCTCTCCGGGTCGGGGAGGAGGTCCTGCCCCAAGTGGAGGAGTTTAAGTATCTTGGGGTCTTGTTCACGAATGAGGGAAAAATGGAGCGAGATATCGATAAGTGGATAGATGCAGCGTCTGCAGTGAAGCAGGCGCTATACTGGTCTGTCACGATAAAGAGAGAGCTGAGTCAAAAGGCGAAGCTCTCGATTTACCGGTTGATCTACGTTCCTACCCTCATCTATGGCCGCGAGCTTTGGGTTGTGACCGAAAGAACGAGATCTCAGATACAAGCGGCCGAAATGAGTTTTCTCTGCAGGGTGTCTGGACTCTCTCTTAGAGATAGGGTGAGAAGCTCGATCATCCGGGAGGGACTCAGAGTAGAGCCGCTGCTTCTCCACGTCGAGAGGAGCCAGTTGAGGTGGCTCGGGCATCTGGTTAGGATGTCTCCTGGACGCCTCCCTGGTGAGGTGTTCCAGACATGTCCCACCAGGAGGAGACTCGGAGACCCAGGACATGCCGAAGGACTATGTTTCTCGGCTGGCCTGGGAACACCTCGGGATTCCCCTGGAGGAGCTGGCCCAAGTGGCTGGGGAGAGGGAAGTCTGGGCCTCCCTACTTAAGCTGCTACCCCCGCGACCCGACCCCGGATAAGCGGAAGAAGATGGATGAGTGGATGGATGGATCGAGTGATTGTTAACATTTTTGATATTTTACATTTTGAAACAAAAGAATAGACTGGATTCTATCCATCCATCCATTATCTTTAACTGCTTCTTCCTTTATGAGTCACAGGGGTCAATGGTGCTCATATACAGCAGTCTCTGTGCGAGAAGAGGCGGGGCACACCCTTAACAAGTCGCAAGTCCATCACAGAAGACTGAATTCTTGTAATGAAAAAAAAATATATATTTTTTTGCCAATTAAACAGAAAAACTAAACAATGAATTGTGCTGGCATATGTGATTTTTTTTTTATTGTGGAGAAATTGAGTACAGTAGCCCTTGGTTATTCATTCAACCTTTATTTATATAGGTTAATCCCATTGAGCCTCAGGACTCATTTACAAGAAAGATCTAATTTTAACAAAGAATGATGACAACAGTAGACAATCATAAAAAGCATTCAAATTGAGAAGAACAAATAAAAGAGAATGGTATTTAAAAAGCTAAATAAAAACAGCTAGATTGTAAAGCAATTTAGAAAGCTAAAAACAGGAGCATGTCTGCATTGGTTTTTGCCAGAAACTTAACAGATGTTTAAAGCCACTTAGAGAGGTCAAGGTCAAGAGCTTCAGATCTTTTTGCAAGATATTCCAGGAAACAGGAGCAGAGTAGGAGAAGAAACTTTTGCCAAGTTCAGTCTGCACTGAGGGGACACTGCAGGTAATAATGTCCTGAGAGTGCACGCTATAGCTGCACTCACATAGAGACATGTAGGAGGAGATGTATGAAGGCAACAGACCAAGAAGTGATTTAAAGATGAAAATGTACCAGTGAGAGAGTCTGCGTGAAGTTAGTGATGTCCAGTTAACCAGTGAATACAGGGTGCAGTGATGGGTACGGTAGTTATAGCCAGTTATGAATCTTAGTGCACCTTGATAGACAGCGTCCAACATCTGCAGGGTGCATCACGGGGGCTCCGTATCCTGAAGCCCCGCGATAAGTGAAAAACCGCAACGTAGGGATAGTAGTACAAGTAGTACAAGTAGTAAGTAGTAAGTAGTAGTTTATTTTAATATATACATACATATATATATGTGTGTGTGTGTGTGTATATATATATATATATATATATATATACACCCACGTATACATATATTTTAATTAATTATTGACACGTGTTTGTAAATGTAGTAGTTTATTTTAGTATTTACTCTTGCAATATTATGTTTCTAAGCTCTAAACACTGTAAAAGAGCACAGAATGTCATGATTCTCGGCTGCACTCTGCCACGTGCAAGCGCCCTCGGCCACGCCCAATTCTCTGCTCTGCACGGAGAACAGCTGCAGGAAGAAGTTTATCCTGCATTTTGGGCTGCACAAAGGTGCAGCAGGTGCTAAATAATTTTAAATAATTTATTTTAAATAAAAACTCCATGCCTATCGTGTCGCTCATCCATCAATCAGCCAATTGTGTGTCGTGTCCAATCTTATTTTGAAAAACCACGATAGAGCGAGTCGGCGAAAAACAAACAGCGAAATAGCGAGCGACTACTGTATCCTACTTTGAAGAATTAAAGCATAAAGTTTAAGGGAGGGAGTATAATTTACTATGTGTATTAGTACTAGTATCCACATATTTGCAAAGGAAATGACAGGAAAAGTGCTAAAACTAGTCATTTTTTGTTGTTTGTATAACATCCTATAAAATTCAGTTTTATGTTGGTTCTGGTCAAAGCTTGAAAGAGCTGCTGTGGAGGGACCAAAGAGCCACATGTGGCTCCAGAGCCGCAGGTTGCAGAACTCTGGTGTAATCCAAGTGATTGATTGGACTCATCAGACTTTATGGATAAATGGAACAGAGTATCATCAGCATAACAGCGAAGTTTTAGCATGATGTTACCACTGTTGAATGAAAATTTAATACAGGGACTAAAATATTGTGATGTTCTTTATTGTGGTATTAGTTTCATATTCTGTTGCTCGGCCTTATAATGAACTGAAGAAAGAAAACTTCCTTGTGTGTCTTGATTTTTGTATCCTTCAGGTTCGTTTGGTTCAGAAAAAAGACACGGGCCACATTTACGCCATGAAGATTTTAAGGAAAGCAGACATGCTGGAGAAAGAACAGGTGAAGGATGGGGAACGTTGCTCTGGTGCTGCTTGTGCGTTTGTGATCTGAGAGCCCCTTCTCTCCCCGCAGGTTGCTCACATTCGAGCAGAGAGGGACATCCTGGTAGAGGCGGACAGCGCTTGGGTGGTGAAGATGTTCTACAGCTTCCAGGACAAGAGGAACCTCTACCTCATCATGGAGTTCCTGCCTGGAGGTTTGCACCAACACACAAACACAACACGCTGATGTTAGCCGACTCTGAAGTTCTAACTTCTGGACCGTGTTACCAGGCGACATGATGACGCTGCTGATGAAGAAGGACACTCTGTCCGAAGAGGCCACGCAGTTCTACATCGCAGAGACCGTCCTGGCCATCGACTCCATCCACCAGCTGGGCTTCATCCACAGAGACATTAAACCAGACAACCTGCTACTGGACTCCAAGGTGAGGACACAAACGCACCACGCTCTGCAATAAAGCAAAAAAATAAAAAATGCAGAGAAACCATGTGCCTGCTGATGTAGTCAATAATGTATTTATTTATCTTGCAGGGCCACGTGAAACTGTCAGATTTCGGCTTGTGTACGGGACTAAAAAAGGCTCATCGGACGGAGTTCTACAGGAACCTGACACACAACCCGCCCAGTGATTTCTGTGAGTCTGAAAATCTGCAGCAGTGACGGAACTAAATACAAATAAAACCACATAAATAATGCTAAACCAGAGTGATTAATGTGCTACTTTTTAAAAGTTGTTTCCATCTTTCAGCTTTTCAAAACATGAACTCAAAAAGGAAAGCAGAAACCTGGAAGAAGAACAGGAGACAGCTGGTACGAGTCATTTTAGATTGTGGAGGCTCAATGGGTCCTCGAGGCTCAATGGGATTAACCTGTCTAAATAAAGGTTGAATGAATCAAAGGATTTGTGTAAATTAACCATCTAAATGTAAAAATAAAAGCCTTCCTGGTTCCAACAATAATTTACTCAGCCTGGGGATTTTGCTCATCATTATCATGAATGAAATAAACAGTTTGACCGGTCAATTTTACTGGTTTTTACGGGGTTTTCATACATTTAACATATAGCCTGTTCACATTGTGGTTGTCTTACAGGCTTACTCCACAGTGGGAACACCAGACTACATCGCTCCTGAAGTTTTCATGCAGACGGGCTACAACAAGTTGTGTGACTGGTGGTCTCTGGGTGTCATCATGTATGAAATGCTTATAGGTAAAAGAAACAAAAGCACTTTCAGTATTAAAGGCATAAAGAGGGCTGACAATATGTATTATGACATATAAATATTTAGCATTTTGAGTAGCTTGCTTTGTTTAATGGAAAATAAATTATAACATACATTTCAATATGCCATCATAATTATGTAATTAAAGTTATTTTTGTGGGGGTGTGGAGGGGTGCTAATACCCTTTCAGGGCAACAGGAAATATTTATAAAACCAGGACAGACTCATGAGATTTAGAATTTGCTGATTCAGCGTTCACGCTGTATTTTTTTAAATTTCCAGTACAGTCCAAGTACGTCTGCATACTTTGTGTTATTTTAGCCATTCATATATTAAAACTGTCAGCAAATGGCTGCTATGACTTTAGTTTTTTGTGGGTTTTTTTATTTAAAAAAATATTTAACTTTATTTACAGCTAGTTTCCCCATGAAAATCTTCATGGGATAAAAAGTTGTTCTATGTCTTCAGTTCCTTTAAAAAAAACTGACCTCTAGAAATGTGCTTCAGCATATTTCCTCTGTTTTTGTCTTCTTTTTTTACTTTTAGCTTATCCTTTTGCTACTTTTACTTTTAGCTTATCCTTTTGCTACTTTTAGTTTTAGCTGTCTAGTTTCTGCTAAATGTAAACTAAAGGCAGCATAAGGCTAGCTAAACACTAAGGCTGCTTTTAGTTTTTAAACTTTTAGCTTCTTATCAACATTTTACTACATTTAAATTTTAGCCGGTGTTTACCTACTTGTAGCTAGTGTTTTGCTTTATTTAGCTGTTTTGTATATTGCTACTTTTAACTGTTAGCTAGAATCTTCTACTTTTAACTTTAGGCTAGCTATTCTTTACCTTTTCTTTTGACATTTGTTATGTTTTAGTTTGCTTTTAATTAGAGTTTTGCATCTTATAGCTTTAAGCTAGCCTTTTGGTACATCTAACTTTTAGCCATTCTTCTGCTTCCTTTGGCTAGCGTTCTGCTTTGTAACAACTCAGCTTTTAGCTTCTTTAGCTAACTTCAGCAGTCATTCAGCACTGAGCATCCACACTAGTTGCTCTAGTTTACAGAACTGTCCTGATTTAAAACAGCACTCAAATGCACCACACGCTAAAAGAAAACGTCACGAAAAACATAAAAGGTCATTGAAACAAAAGGCCAGATGATGTACTTGGTAAATTTGTGCAGCAGTCCTCAAATTCAATAAAAGAAGTGAATAATCTAAACATTCAAATTAAAAATGTTTAAAAGCTCCACAATATACGTAAAAAATATAGAGAGCATCTTAAAAAGACTTAATCCTTGTCTTTGAACCATGAAGAGAAGTGATGCATGCCTGTTAAGATGTGAATGTAACAACGTTCATCACAGTGTCATCAGCATAGAGGGGGACAATAGCATTTAAAATCCTTCAATTGAGACTTTTGATAGACAAAATAAAAACGAGTGGCCCCAAAACTGATTTCTTTGGGTACACAAAGGAAGCCTGAACTGATGGGATCTGTTTTTACCCATTGAAATCTGTTTAATAACTCATTTCAACAGCGTGCTTTGACAATTTAATGCTGATAAAACCTTGCAAGTTCAGGAGCATCATGGCTGCCAAACTGAAAATAAAGGTTATGGGGCCTATTTCAGCACAAAACAGTTAGTCATATGAATGTCTGTGCTTCAGTATCAATGTTTTTTTCAGTATATATGCTTGTTGAATGTTTCAGGTTACCCACCCTTCTGTTCTGAGACGCCCCAGGAGACGTACAGAAAGGTCATGAACTGGAAGGAAACGCTCGTCTTCCCACCTGAAGTTCCCATCTCAGAGAAGGCCAAAGATTTGATTTTAAGGTTCAACATAGTCTTATTTCAGTTCATCAAACACTGATTATATGCTTCTACTGTTAACTCGTCTTCAGATCGGTGAAAGTTGTTTTAGAGACTTCCCCCCATCGTTCTTGCCTTTTTGTTTCTGAATTTTCTGTTTGTAAATTCAAGGTACTGCACTGATGCCGAGAACAGAATTGGAGCTGTGAGTGTGGATGAGATCAAGAGTCATCAGTTCTTTGAGTCCGTGGACTGGGAGCACATCAGGTTTGAGACCTTATTTGCAATCGAACTGCCTTTATTTATGTCGAGCAGGCTTCCACATGCAGAAAATGTTGACATTTCCTGTTTTGATGCGCAGGGAGCGGCCAGCAGCTATTTCTATTGAAATCAAAAGTATCGACGACACGTCAAACTTTGACGACTTCCCTGAATCAGACATCCTTCAGCCAGGTTTGTCAGGTTGAATATTTTATCTCTAGATTTTAGAAAACAACTTGTGGTTTTGACATTTAAATCCATCTACGTTTTTATACCCTTTAGACCAGAGGTGTCAAACTCACTTACAAAAGGGGGCCAAAATGAAAACCTTTTTCAAACTAATGGCCAATTTCAGAAACTACATTAACTCAAATCAGATACTCAACATCTTTTCTTGGTCACAGGTTCCTCAACAAGAGTTTGATTGGTCTCATTTGATGTTCTCTGTTGTGCTTTCAACATCATAATCAAAGATTACTGTAAAAAATTCAAGAGATAGAAGTATTTTACATTTCACATATCATCTTGGGGGTCTGGTAAGGTGTCAACGAGGGCCACATTTGGCCCCCGGGCCTTGAGTTTGACACATATGCTTTTAGCCGTTTTTTTTTTATCTGTAACGTGCCATAGTAAGATTAATGCTCAGCAATTGATCAGAATATTTAACATAATTTAATTTTTTTTGTGGAAATGATAGAAGTCTTCTAAATTCTTGAAATGTACTTCAGCATACCAATATTACCAACTATTTAGAGAATTTTTACATTTATCTACTGCTATGTTGATTTTAGGTTTTAGCTACTGTTTTGCAAAATTTAGCTTCTAGCTGTCGTTCTGCTGGTTGTCTCAGTTTAAGTTGGCTAACATTTTGCTAGTATTAACATTTAGCTACTGCTAATTTTAGCTACTACGTATTTAGCTTTAGTGTAGTCAAGTTTAGCCTTATCCTATTACTTTTGGCAGTTTCCATTTCTAGCTACTGTTAAATTAGCATTTAGCTTTTTATTTTTGTGCCCTGAGATGACTTCTGTTGTGACTTGGCACTACAGTAGTCCCTCGTCTACCACGAGGGATCCGTACCCTGAAGCCCCGCGTTAAGTGAAAAACCATGAAGTAGGAATAGTAGTACAAGTAGTGAGTAGTAACGCTCTGAAAGAGCACAGAATGTCATGATTTCAGCTCCCTGCCTCCACTGCTCTTTGCCACCTGGCACCTGCAAGCGCTCTTGGCCACGCCCACTTCTCCGCTCTGTAGGGAGATCAGCTAATCAGCTGCAGGAGGAAGCTTTTTCTGCAGCTGTAGGCTGCACAAAATTGCAGCAAGTGCTAAATAATTTTAAATAATTTATTATAAATAAAATTTCCATGCTGATCATGCGGCTCATCCATCAATCAGCCAATTTTGTATCATGTTCAATCTTATTTTGTAAAACCACGATAGAACGAGTCCGTGATAAACGAACCGCGAAGTAGCGAGGGACTAGTTTATTTAGATGAACTGAACTGAATTGAATTTTACTTATTTAAATTTTTACCATTTCTTTTGCCAGTTTTAGGTTTTAGTTCTTCATGTTTAGGCTTTTAGCTTTCTTTTTTGCTAATTTAACTTAGCTATCATTGTGCTAGTTTTAACTTTTAACTTTTGTTTTCTAAAATCAGTTTTTAGCTTTGTTTAGCAAATTTTAAAATTTAATTTTACCTATGTAAAAAATAGCTACTGTTAATTTAACTTATCTTTTGATATGTTTTAGTACTTTTTTGCTAATCTTAGCTTTTAGCTATTAGTTTTTAAGTTTTGTTTTGATCATTTTAGCTTTCCTCCTGATCGTTTCACCTTTAACAATGCAGCCCTCCTCATTATTCTCTGGTTTTTTTTTTTTTACTAAATTAGTTTCTTAACTTCAGTTTAGTTGTCTAATTCCAGTTTTTTGTTTTGTGAACAGCCAACACGACAGAGCCGGACTTCAAATCTAAGGACTGGGTCTTCCTGAACTACACGTACAAACGCTTCGAGGGTCTGACTCAGCGCGGCACCATCCCCATGTACATGAAGGCTGGGAAGGCCTGACACATTCAGAGGAGAGGGAGGGGGCAGTGTGGTGGAGAAAAATACAGACGTTTCCGGACACAGGGTCGGGCCGTGGAGCCCCCGCTGGTGCTGAAGGCTGAGCTGTCAGCCTCTCAGTCTAACCCTCATACGTTATTTAGATCCGCTCAGCCTCGCAGGAACGCCACGAGCTTGGATTTTAAGGAGCGTCACCACATTACCTCGGTTGTTTGTATCATTTGTGCCGTCTCTAGCTATAGCTCTCAGGCCAGCGCACTAACCAGGACATATCAACATATCTGCATGTTCAGCAGCTTAGCGCTTTCTGTTTTTATTTTCTTAAACCGCCAAAAGGTGACAGCTGGAATAAGGCTTGAGTCACCGCTTCGACATCCTGACATCGATAGTTTCTACACTGGTGTCTAAATGAGCTCTGATGCTAACTAAGAAGGCTTCATACACTGTAAACTAAAACTGGATGACTGGAGAGAACAGAAACCTCTCGCCTGTTTAGTGTTTCTGAAAGCTCCAGCATGATTTCAAGTGTTTCCGTTAACTTTTTATTTCCTGCAGATTATTTAAAGATTTCACTGTTGACAAAAGTTTATTATTTAAAAGTAGAAAAAGTCAAATTTAACTAAAAAAAGCATCAACTAATGCAAAGTTTTTTTTTTTCACCCGTCAGTACTCAACAGTTTTTTCATATTCCTGGGTTGTTTACACTGAGTTCTGTAGTGCAAATAGCATTAGCAGCTAGCTGTAGCAGCCTTGGGCACTTCCTGCAGGAATATCAGAATATTTCTGCTGAAATAACCGTTTCATTTAAAGAAAAAAACAAAAAACAGCGTTTGCATGAATCGCTGTGAACTTATGAATATTTGAGTCGTTTTAAGACGGCAGAGATCCCCGTTGGTTTTCGCCCCGCTCGTTCTAGCCGTTAGCTGAAGAATTGGGTCAGAATTAGCCTCTGTTTCTGTTTTCTCTTTAAGGTTTTGTGCTTCACGTCTTTCCTGAAGCCTCATCTGTCATTAACTGTTAAAATGTTTTGAGAATCAGCAACCAGAGCTACTGCTTTGGAAAGTTTTTGTCTTCAGAGGCTAATAACCCGGCTTCAACTCTAGTGTTTCCCCTACCATTATACATGCGGGACGCCCCGCCAAGGACCTAATTTGTAAAGCGATTGATGCCGGAACCCCAAATAGTGGGCGGGCCGGCTGGGGGTCCTCACCCAGAAATTTTGAATAAAGTAGATACAATTTCCTACATTTTGGTGTATTTTAACGGATTGTTAAACATCTACGTACACCTAGGTTTGTAAACACTCTGCTTCTGTCAAGCATCCTACCCCCCTCCTCCCTTACTTGATGGTTCTGAGCCGACTTTTCTCCAGTTAATTCACTGTCCAACTCCACATGTGAAGCCTGCAGGCGCCTCCTCCGTCTGGGCTCCTGCCAACGTACGACTGCCTGGTTAGCTCGGCACTCACCACCACTGTTTGAGGTGCAGAGATTTTTTTTAAGGGTAGACACAGAAATGCTTACTTGAAGAGGCAGCTCATATGTGATATTAAGAAGTCGTAAGTGGCTGTTGTGTTTAAAATGAGTGTTTAAGTAATTGTTTTCACTTTACATATCCAATATAAGTTTTATTCCTTCAAGGCAGTCATATTTGTTCATAACTTTTTTATTAGTAAGCCTGAGAGTTACCGGATCCAAGCAGTTACCGGAATGCACCCTGTCAAAATAAGGGAGTTTCTGGATCCTGTTCCGGCAGGATCTGGCTGAAATTAAGCACTGGCCCCACCCCGTCAACAGAACTGAGAGCCCTACCTACCCCCGCCCCCCCGGTTGATAAAAACCAGCAGCAACGTAGCGCTAAGCTATCAGGCGGGCAACTAGATTTGTATTTGGGCCCCAAAAATCCAACCTGGCCCCAGCCCATAGCCATCATTTCTAAACCACACCCAACCCGACAAATTAACAATAATTACAGGTTCGAACCCAAACATCCCCCCCCCCCACGACATTTTTAATTAAGCTTTGACTGCTTATATAGTTATTAACGGTCGGCGGATGCGCGGCTGAATAAAAGGGGCAGAAGATCGGAGCTGAGGGGGTGTTTGTCCTTTCATGGCCATCAAAGCGCATTAAATCCCTGCTTCTGCCTGCATTCTGCATTATTCATACACGGACCCTGCTCTGACATGTCTGCTTTGGGATCTCACCTGTTTGGGTCATCGGCCGCGCGCGGCTGAATGAACGTCCATTTGGGCTTGATGGATCCTGGCAGTATAGTTCCATCTGAAGCTTAACAGAACTGTATTTTACCTCTTTCAAGGCTGGTCAGTGCGCGGTGAAATGGCCGCATGCGGCTGGTGAATGTACGGCAAGCCGTGTTGCCATATAATTGGAATGTATGGCAAGCCATATTGCCATATAATTAGATTGCGGCTGATTGCTGACGCAATCAAAAGCCCGACAGTGACCCGGCCCACCCATCCAACACATTATCATAGCGGGCTTAAGGTCCGGGTTAGAAATGGCAGCTCTTTGGGCAACACAGACGTGACTCTGTCCCGTCCTCTACCCCCCGTTGACCAAAAAAATACGACATGCGTCCTGCCAAGGGAACTGATCTAGGTGACCATATTTGACCCATGTGGTCATGTTTCAACTTTACTTCATACTGATGTTTTTTTTTTATTTACTTCATCAGGTCAAAATTTTTTGAAGTTCTTAGGGGCGACTCAGTTGTTACTTTTAGTTTCTCTACAACCTATCTTTAACTTTGATTAGCTGAAATAACATGCTAAACAGAGCACTTTAAAACATGTAAAAAAAAGAATAAAAACTATAATGAAAGGAAAAGTACTGTATATACGGAACGGATGGCAGTGAAAGCACTTGAATCATGCTGGAGTCCTTTGTTGACCCTCCTGGTGGTGGTGCGCTGCTTTGTGGGGTAACTTCCTGCCAGCCTTCCCTGCTTTTCTCACACAGGAACAACGCGCTGCCAAGAAACAATGCAATTAAGCCTGCGCTGGACATCCGCTAGCGTTGCCAAACAAACCGTTCTGCGTGTTCTTTTAAAGTCAGTTTTCAGTTTTTATGATTGCTGCAAGTTGTAAAAATACTTCTGATCAGTTTGAAGCCCAGTCACTTTCCTTCTAAGTGGACTAAAAATGCAAAAGTGCCTTTTTAAGCAGCTCATAAACTTTCAGCCAGATGTATAGGTAAAGCTTCGCAACGTTTAATTAGGAGGCTTTCATTAAAGTTGGAATAATATGAAGCTGACTGAACGGAGTCGTTAAAGAATATTTGTTTTAGAAAAATGTATTAGTGTGTGGAGAGTTATAAAACTGGGAACTGATAACAGTTGTAAAAATGTGTAAAACAGGGTTTTATAGATTAGATAATAAAGCAGGAAGCTTTTAACAACAGACGGCTTAGAAAAGTATTTGGCAATAAAGATGAAATAAATTAGATTAAAGAAATCTGATAAGATTAAGATGTTGGATCTCTTTAGATGTAATGTATATTGTGCACGTGTTGTGTTTCGCTCTGACACACACAAGAGTTTTGCCATAAACCTGACTGCAAGTCCGTTCATGTGTCAAAGTGTTTAACGTCTGCTCAGAGTTACCAAAGAACTCGAATCATCAGAAACTCACACGGAGCTGCTGCTTGATGCACTTAACATGAAACTACCTTTACAAATGGCAAACTTTCAAAGAGACCTAAACTCTTCAGTGTGCTATTTCTGTTTGTATACTTGTGAGAAAGTGAGCGCGCATGTGTAACATTGTTTATACCGGACCATAACAGTTCGGACGTTTGGCACAGGCGCATTTAAAAAAATGAAAAGTTTAGCCGAAGGTGACCCAGATGTTACAACAAGACTGACTGACTAACGCTCTACATGAAACAAAGCATAAGTGTTTCAGACAAACCCTGCAGAGGCCTGAAGGCCAGTCTCTGTTGACAAGTCCTGTGGTCATGAGCGTGCTTGTAAGCGTCTGTGGCAGGTCGTGTGGATTTGTTTCATACGAAGCGTGATTTTCCCACACTAACACTCAGCTAGCTGAAAGGTTCGGTGCGAGTTTTTCACATTTTTATTTTTATCAACTAGTTGAGGTCAAATTAGCTGAAGCCAAAATTCCCTGATTTTGTTATGAACTCAAGTGAGGGAGATTCTTTTCTGGAGTTGATTCATCTTTTTGTTTGACACAAGGTCTGGAGGTTACTGCTTACAGTTTGGATGAAGACACAATATAATAATAATAAAAAAAGAAAAACTCAAAGTGGAAATTCCCAGTTGACAAATCGAGCCTTACTGTATGTGATCTTTAAAAAAAAAAAAAAATTCAACCTTTATTTATAGAGATTAGTCTCACTGAGTCATGAGGACTCATTTTCAAGAGACCTGTTTTAAGACAGACACCAATATACAACAATAAAAGGCAATTAGAATAAAATAGTTATATAAAAACACTGTTATTGTTAGCAACATTAGCTGAGTGATCCTGTTAGCAGAGTGATCCTGTTAGACTAATCCTGTTAGCAGTGTGGTCCTGTTAGCAGTGTGGTCCTGTTAGCAGTGCGGTCCTGTTAGCAGTGTGGTCCTGTTAGCAGAGCAGTCCTGTTAGCAGAGCAGTCCTGTTAGCAGAACGGTCCTGTTAGCAGTGCGGTCCTGTTAGCAA